TTTGATTGTCACATGTATTAAAATTCATTACTGGAACTTCCAAGGCGAATGGACGCTGACTGTTAATAGTTCGGAACAATGGATTAGTTCTCAAGTTCACTTCACAGATGTAGAAAAGCGTTTATACGATATCGCGAAAAATTTTGTCATGGATAAGCTTAATATTAATATTCGTAAAGAACAAGAGAACGTTTTACAACCATCCGGTAATTGTTTTTTTTCTTCTCGTTTTGAAACATGCATGGATCGATTCAGTCGTTTAACATACATCTAACAACAATTGCATTTAGCTATCGAACAAATTGTTAGGCGATCTCTAAAGTATCAATCAAAACCAGGTTTTTTCCATCTTAACGGAAAGACAGCCGGCCTCTATAAATATAAAAATTCAGGAGAGTTTTCTGCAGATCTGGAGAATTATTTCAGTGGTGGACGTATGAACGACATTGAAGACCGAATTAGGGCCACTGCGGTAACTCTGCAGTATTGGGAACTAGTCGCCGCTGATTTTAGAAATGATTGGTACAATAGTTTTGTTAAGGCACGCTCCTGGTTGAAATCTCAATTGCAAAACGACATTCAGTTGGAGAAAGAGGTTCTCGAATGCGCCCGGAAGTTGATTGCCGAGAGATATGAAGTCGATGATGAAAGTGTCATGTTTGATGAGCCAAATTCTGAACCAAAAATTTTCTCATCTGAGCCCATTTTTGAGGATCCTTTGAATAAACCAGAATCTATGTCCATCGGGAGTGAAGCGCCACCGGAAAATGTGAACCCTGCCCCTAAAGTTGATGCTCCTCCGCCCGTTTCTTCGCCCGTTTCTCCGCCCGTTTCTCCACTGTCTGTTTATCCACCCGTTTCTCCACCGCCAGTTTATTCACCCATTTCTTCACGTATTGCTCCGCCTGTTTCTCCGCCGCCTGCTTATCCACCCGTTTCTCCACCGCCCGTTTCTTCTAAGGGAAGAGCAAGAAGAGTGCATAAATTTGAAGAAAAAGGTCGTATCAAAGTGATTTCATCTGCACGTTCTGAAGCAAGGGCAGTTAGTTCTATTAAGCAATTTGTAATAGAGCCATGGGTCGTACCTCGTATCAAAACAGCAGTCGTGCTGGATGATAAAAATGATCGAGTACTGTTCATTGGTAAACACACGATACAGTTATGGTCTAACTTTCCAAGTAGAACGCTGCAGTATATTTGGTGTCGACCAATTATAAAACAAAATCGAGAAAAAGATTTTATTAAAGAATATTTTA